AGACAGTTTACTTTTGATTTAGTTCATCGTAAAGGTTCACATAACGTAGTTCCTGATTTTCTTAGTAGAATACCTGGCGATGATTCTCCTTCAGATATTTCAGATAATGATTCCTTTGTATGTCCACAAATTTCTATTTTGAATATAGATTTAGATCATACTGATGCATGGTATGAGACAATGAAGCGAAAGATTTTAGCTTCGCCTAGTTCATTTCCACAGTGGAAAGTTGAAGATGGTTTTCTTTTTAAGTTTATTCCGGTACAGCTACCATTTTCATCAAATCTTCAAGAATGGAAGAAGGTTGTTCCACGTCCTCAACGTCGTAATATTATCGAATCATGTCATAATCCGCCAACTTGTTCGCATTTGGGTTTCTATAAGACTTTATCAAGACTTCAAGAACAATTTTACTGGCCCAAGATGAGAGCCGATGTTCTTAAATTTGTTAGGAGTTGTCGTGTTTGTGGAGCTCAGAAATCTTCAAATACTATGCCGTTAGGTAGGATGGGAAGAGAAAAACAAGTTAATATGCCTTTTCAGACAATCGCTTTAGATCTTATGGGTCCTTTTCCTAGATCAAAAAAGGGTCATAAGTGGCTTTTAGTTGTTGGCGATTGGTTTTCGAAGTATGTTCTTCTGTGTCCGTTACGTTCATCAAAATCTCCGTATGTTGTGAAGTATCTTGAGAGTGAAGTTTTCCTTACTTATGGAGTACCTCAATATATAATTTGTGATAATGGTCCTCAGTTTGTTGCTAAAGAGTTCAGAGATTTAGCAAAGAAATATCAAGTTCAGAAGATCTGGTATAATGCTGTGTATTCTCCTCAATGTAACTTTGTTGAGCGAATGAATAAAACAATAGGAACAGCTATTAGAACTTATGTTAAACAACATACAGATTGGGATGTTCAACTCTCTAATATTCAGTTTGCTTTAAACACTTCTAAACATGAGGTCACAGGTTTTTCTCCTTCGTTTTTAGTTTTCGGTAGGCATATTCCCATCTCTGGTAATTATTATGGTCAAGTTAAGTTCTCTGAAGATTTTGAAATTATGCCTGGCGATCGCAACTCTTACGCTTCAGAACTCAAAAATCTTTATAGTGTCTTTAGCGAAGTCCGTAAGAAACTTCATGCTGCTTACGAAAGAAACTCAAAGTCTTATAATTTGCGTAGACGTGATCTATCTTTTCAGGTTGGTGATTTGGTTTGGAGACGTAATAAGGTCTTATCAAATGCTGGTGTTAACTTTTCAGCCAAGTTAGCCCCTCGTTTTGTTTTATCTTCAGTACGAAAGAAAATTTCGAATTTAGTTTATGTTTTAGTAGACGAGGATGGTAATAACGCAGGCCGCTGGCATATAAAAGATCTTAAACCATACCAAGGTCACATGATTGACGACGATGATACAGGAAATGTCTCTACTACGTCACAGTAATTTAAATAATCTATTATGTCCGATTCCTTTTTAGGGTTTAGTCTAAAGGATACATAGATTATATTTTAGTTTTTTTAGTTTATATTAAAAAGTTATACAACAATTCGCTTATCGTTTTTACGGATTTGTCGCGAATCAGCATAACTATTGTGTTATTTAGTTTTTTTGCGTATATTTTCAGTATAATATAGTATTTCTATTTAGAAATGCGAGCATATAGCAGTATTTTTCTTTTTCCGAGTATTCTACAGATTACCTAATTTTGAGTAAATATTTTGTGGGATGGTAATTCTGTTAATCACTCATATGGTTTTGTGCCATTTGCTCCATTCTATGACATTCAGTTCACAAGAATCTGAAATTTAAGCAATTCTTGTATTTTGAGAACACGACTTCGTGACAAAACGAAAAGTTGTTATGATTCTGATTGCAACCTAATGGTGAGACATAGCTGACCTCATAACTTCGTAAGTTTACTGTGTATTGGGTATGATTGTGATTTTCTTTCCATATTTGCAATAGCGTTTCATAGGCTGGAATCCTATGTTACGGATATTTTGGGTCATTCGTGACAATCTTTTCTCTCTTCCTTTATATGTTTATCTATTGTGATTTCTATTGTTATTTTCCTTTCTTTTTCTCATACAGGTGAGTTACCTTGAATGGTTAACCGGTGAGCACACAGGTTGTGGCGAAGGTAGTTTGTTTTGGTCACGCCAAACTTACCTCTTATAGTGATCCGTAGCATGGCTTTTGTTGAGGTTCTTTTGTTGTTTGTTTTGTTCTCCGCTTCCTTGGGTGTGAGGGGTCGCATGACTGATTACACGCGATTTGTGAATCTTTCGTTGCCTCACACTAGGTGGGTTGAGTACGGACAATCAGCTTGAGGATTTCTTCAGGAACATCTGCGCTTCCATGGGATTCTTTCTTTCTTTCTTTTCCTATCCCATACTTTTAGGTTTAGATTTAGTTTTAGTTTTCATATATAGTTTATATGAATGTTTTTATTTGGATTATATGGTGATTTGACTTTCCCGATTGTGTAATCTCACTGATTTGACATACCGATTGCGACTTACCAATAGTGACTCCTTTATGGACGTGTGATACACGAAGTTATCATCCACCAAATTTTCATTTGAAAAATCCAAAACCCTGTACAAACTTAGTTTAGTTTTCCTATGTGGTGTTTGGGCGAAAGTCCTCTTTGAGGGCCTTTCTTTTTTTTGGAGGGGGGCAGTGTAGCGTTTTATTTTTCTTTTTATAAAATTCCAAATTTTAATATTGCTGGCGCCATCTATTCGCTAGATGTTAAACTTCATTCAGTACAGGTAGCGGTTCCTTTCCATAAAAACAAATTTCATTCAGTATAGACGATAGAGTTCACTTAATTGCCTTTGGTCATATGACCTGTCAATTCGAAGACTTCCGTTTTGCGAAAAGGAGGAAGGAGGCTTTTTCGGAGAGATTGAGATCAGAAAAAGACGCGTGGTTCAGCGTCCGACGAATCTCAGAGAGAAAAGGGCTTTCTGAAACACTTTTCCTAACAGTAAAGGCACGGGTATCCAAAGGTGGAGATTTGAAATCCTGTAGAATATACTGTTCAGAGCCTAGTTCGTGTTCTTTTGGCCTTTTCCTGGAATAAGATCACAGTAAGTGTATCTACCATTTTGTATCGCCATGTCTAACTAAATTTTATTTCAGTTATTCCCGTTTTTTATTTATTTTGATAATGTTTGATTGTGCATTACTGGTTTGGATCGGCATTTAGTTTGGCTATATTTTGGAATGTGTACAGCTGATTTTCAGACCAGTAACTGGCGTATAAGAAATTGACGTATAAGTAATTGGCATATGAGTAACCACTTTTGAGACAGTATTTATGACTCTACATTTATTCTACTGATATCGAAGACTCCCGCTACTAGCGAAGAGTCTACATCCACTTCCGTTAGTCTGGAGACTGCCTGCCTACCTGTTCACTACGTCACAAAATTAAAAAAAAAAATACAGATAAGTTCTAAGTTCAACACACAAGGTATTCCCTAATTTTTTTTTACTTTGAGACAATATTTTGAATATCTCTGTAAATTGTTGTCATTTATTCCGTATATTATAGTCAAAATTTACCTTTTAGTTAACATTATAAGTCATGCTTTGTCCTTAACGGTACGTTTTACTTCAGTATGATCTTTTATGTGAGAATCGCTAACACGGATTCATTTTTGAAGGTTATTGTACACGACTTGTTTCGAAACATCATCGTATTGGTACTTACATAAATTTCACCTGTTTATATATTACGTAGTATAGTATACTGGAGAGAACTCTAACTAAATTTGAGTTTACTCAAAGTAACTAACGATTTCATTGGGATAATTGAAACTGGGTTTAAACTGATTGATAATTGTGTTCGTTTTTAAATAAATGTTCAACGTAGGATAGTTATATCTGACTTTTTATTCTTGATGAACATAATAGACCCTTATTGCTGTTGATTATTTTATTTTAGCTATTTCATGATCAAATTTTCTTACTGGTTTCTTACTTTTACCTTTTCATACCCAAAGTAAGTGGCGCCCTTTTACTGTCTTTGACCATTACTATTTGAATACTTAACATCAATTTTAGAATCTTTGCAGCCTATACATTATTACTTTTATTTTATTATTTAACAACATTATTAAGTCACCACAGGTCACAAGCCTTACCTACGAACCCAGCTCTCCTCTAACCCTGAGCAACGGATACCTTTTTCTTTCTGTTTGAGTGATGACAGAAAAAGTCGTCACCAAACCTCGACACTGATAAAAAAATTTAAAAAACAAATATAAATTAGTAAAAACCAACCAACCCCACCAAATAACCAACTAACCAATGAATTAACACCCTCCAAATAACCACGCTAACCAACCCGCCAAATAACCAAACCAATCCAACAAAAAAGAATGAAACCAATGCAATAAGATCACGCTATAAGCAAAAAAAATATAAAAAAGTGTTGGTCAGCGTGAGATTTGAACCCCGGACCATTCGCTCACGAACCGATAGCCTCAGCCACGGAGCCACAGGTGCTCTTGCAATATGCTTATGGCTAGGCATTACTTTCGGCCGACATGAACAACGTCACAATATCTATTAACGGCATTTTAGTAGGCTACCGTTTAACGGCTGTTTAAGTACATCCAAAAAAAATCTTGATTATTATTATTATAGAAGGGGAAAACCAGAAAAAAATGCAGTGGTTCTCAAAATTTAAGCAAAAAATCCCTTTTTTAATTTTCAAAGTAAAGTAACTCGCTTATTTTGGACATATTTGAAAAAGAAAATAAGTTTCTTTTATCTAGATCTGACCGCCCTGTATGAAAATATTTGCACTTATTTAAGACTCACTTTGTATAATATCGATAATATCCCGGAGGTGAAGTGTTTCCGAACGTCGCATCGGTCATATTTATTCGAATGGAGTTCCTTTTTTTCCTTTCAAATATTTTTTCTAGACGTAAAAATAATAATAAGGCGCTTTTTATGCACGAATTAGAAATTTTATAACTTTTTAGGTGTGACAACAATGCTCAACTTTTTCACCACATCTAATGGTTTTCGATCTACACTTCCTGTCGTATCGAATTTAACAGCTATGAACGTATGGGATGGTGTTTGTATGTGCTTTATATACGCATCACTTCTGGAATTCGTATGCGTTAATTATGTAGGGCGTAAGAGACCACTGCATAATGTCGTATATAGACCAGGGGAAAACCCTTTCAAACAGGTGAGTTCAACAAATGAATCCAAAAAAATATTTTTTTGGTTTGCTTTTCAAAAAATATTTTTACTTGAAAAGATTTTTTTAAGTAAGCTTTAGTTTCTTAGTTAATATTGTTTTATATATAATAATTTATATGTGTTTCAAAACAAGAAGATAATTCAAGATATACAGGGTGTTTCAAAAAACGTGTGTCATCTCTCGTGAGGAGATTCCTCATGGAAAAATAAGATTTATTTTTCATATCGACATAGGGCCGATTCTGCTTTGTTTCGTGGCTACAGGGTGTTAAAGTCTTAATATTTTTTCGATTTATTATAATTTTCTTCCATATACTTTTAGCGTTTCGAATGAAATTTTGAAGGTAAGAGTTACTATAAATACATATTTTAAAACTAAGAAAGTGTCGTTATATTCACCAGAGACGTGCATATCGGTCATCACTAGAATATGACTTCTAAAAAAAGCATGTACGCCACTGACTTCTTTTTCTCTTGTTAGCGGAATAGTGTAAGCAGTTTAATGCCGATTAAAAGTGGTCTCTTGATATTTTGTCGATTTCAGCCTCCTTGATGAGATAAACGCAATTTTATTAATTTGCCTCGATCCAAGTCTAATAGCAACCTTTAAAAAAATTTAATATCATTAACTTGCAAAAGTTTTCAATAAGTACTCATTGATTCCTCATCAAAAAATATAAAAAAAGTTCCATAAACATGGTATGGAAATGCATACTTTTAGAGTTACAGCATGCTAAAAATTTTTAAATTAGGTTCATTGTAATTATCTTAAATACCGTTATTTTTTTTATTTAAAATTGCTGTAGGTTGGACTAATAGTAATAATAACTAATAGTAATAATATTTAATAAAATTAAATATTATTACTATACAGGGTTGTTCACCACATACGACACGGAGTATTGTAGCTAAACGATGATATTTTTAAGTTTGGGGTTCGTTGAAGGACTATTAGAGCTACAATTTAAAAATATTTTTACAAGATACAGAGTGTCCCAAATAAATAAAAGATATCAAAGTTGTATTTTTTTAAATGGAACACCCTGTATATTATTACATTTTTAGTTTCTACGATTAAAATAAAGGTAAATTTGATTAAGGTTTATTATACTTAAACCTTACCGTTTTTGAAATATTTTCAATTTTGTGAAATTGCAGTAAAAATTTTAAGGCTTCATTTCTCCAAGGGTATCAAAGTTTTTAATACTAAATATTTACTGAAGTTTATTTACTGATCAGTTATTGTGTTGCAATAATAAAAATAATACTACCTTATACAGAGTGTCTAAAAATTTATTTTAAATAATTATTAGCTTCAAACGGCAATAACTTCTTTAATTTAAATGGAATGCCCTGTATATTTCAGAATCAGATGCACAATTAAATTGTCTATCAAATTGTGTTATACCATTTTTTACCTATCCCTTCAAGTTTTCGTAGAAAATGCATTTTCTTATAATTTAGACCTCATTTATCAATATATCCATGGAATATTGACATTTTAGATTGTTTTTAAAGCAACAAATGTACAAAATGTACAGACTAGTAATATTATCGTTTTTAGCAAAACGATATTACTAGCCCATTTGTATGCAAAAAGAAAACTATTTAAATCTTTATAAAAGAGTATACCATTAATTAAATATAACACCATTATTTCCGCCCATATACTAATTATTAATTACATACTTAATTGTGTTCGTTAATAAATTATTATAAATAAATGTGGATTTGAGTCAGAAATCAATATAATAATAAGTTATCAAATTAAAGTCTCTGTTGTTATAATAAATATAATAAGCATTTATTAAAAAATGAAATATCATTTTTAAGGTGTTACTTTTTATCACACTGTCTAATGCCCATACAAAATTCAGTTTTTTAGAATTTGGAGCAATTATTATTAATCAACGCAAACAGTCAGTTAATGTAGTTTGAATACTGGAATCATATTAATTGATCCTCTTTAACAAATATTTAAACAGTTTTTTTTATTTTTTAATAAAATAAACGAATTATATCGACAATATTAGTATCTGTACTCTTTAAAAATTTGGTACATCTTTAAAAATAATCTAAAATATCAATAGTCCATGGGTATATTGATAAATAAGTTCTAAATTACAAGAAAATGCATTTTCTACGGAAACTTAAAGAGATAGGTAAAAAATAGTATAATATAATTTGATAGACAATTAAATTGTGCATCTGATTCTCGTAAAATATAGAGGGTGTTCCATTTAAATTAAACAAGTTATTGCCGTTTGAAGCTAATATTTATTTAAAATAAATTTTTAGACACTCTGTATAAGGTAGTATTATTTTTATTATTGCAACACAATAACTGATCAGTAAATAAACTTCAGTAAATATTTAGTATTAAAAACTTTGATACCCTTGGAGAAATGAAGCCTTAAAATTTTTACTGCAATTTCACAAAATTGAAAATATTTCAAAAACGGTAAGGTTTAAGTATAATAAACCTTAATCAAATTTACCTTTATTTTAATCGTAGAAACTAAAAATGTAATAATATACAGGGTGTTCCATTTAAAAAAATACAACTTTGATATTTTTTACTTATTTGGGACATCTGTATCTTGTAAAATTATTTTTAAATTGTACCTCTAATAGTCCTTCATCGAACCCAAAACTTACAATTTGTAAAAATCTCATCGTTTAGCTACAATACTCCGTGTCGTATGTGGTGAACAACCCTGTATATTATTAAATTTAGGAAAAATATATAAATTATATTAATTTTATTTTTATTTTATTAATTGTGATTAATAATTGCGTTTATCTCATCAAGGGGGCGGGTTTCAACAAAATATCAAGAGAGAACTTTTAATTGGCATTAAACGGCCTACACAATTTTAATATGGAAAGAAAAAATCAGTGGCGCACATGTTTTTTTTTAAATATTCCAGTTATAACCCATATGCACGTCCATGATGCATGTCCCTGGTGAATGTGACATTTTTTTTAGCATTAAAATATGTAGCAGTTATAGTAACTTTTGTCCTCAAAATTTCATTCGAATCACTAAAAGTACTTGGAAGAAAAAGATAATAAATCGAAAAATTATTAAGACTTTAACACCCTGTAGCTACAAAACAAAGCAGAATCGGACCTATGTTGATATGAAAAATAAATCTTTTTTACGTGAGGAATTTCCCCACGAGAGATAGCACAAGTTTTTTGAAACGCCCTGTATTTAAGACATTCCTCCAATTTCAAAATATCCAATTTTCTAGTACATAAGTAACTAGAAACATTTTGTTGTATTTTTTTATCTTAAATATCGTAAATAATAGTATCTACTGAAAACAGCTTACTGGGATGCACTAATAAATCAACATTGTCAAAAGGCAACACTGTCTTAAGCTCAATGATCGCCTATAAATCTGGCAAACATAGTAACTTAAATAATTTAGTTAATTATGGCGTTTCACTAAAATATTCTGTTATTACACGAACGACTGAGATCCACAGTCAAACAATGTACCGATTGAAAAATTACGCCGGTTACGCTGATTACAGGCGGTGCGTAAACTAGACTTGATTTTAGGGAATACATTTTTTGACGCCGGCTTACACATACTAGTTTTTAATATGCCTACTTGTATGTAAAAAAAATTTAACTCGCTTCCGGCTAAATCGGTAGTGATATTCATTCAAACGGGTTTTTAATGGAAAGTGATGAAGTTTTGATAGGTTATTTATTGGGTTCAAATAAATTGGCCGTCTATACTACAATGTCGATGTTCCCCTGTATAATATAATTTAATAAACAATATATTAGAAAAATCAGCCATATTTTTTCAACTATATTTGCAATATTTTTCTATACTTTCAATTTTCGTCTTCTTTTGCATGATATAGAATTGCATGTAATCTCTTTACTATATCACAGAAATATACAGGGTGTAATTGGATGACGAAATAATCAAAAGGTGATTGTTTTTCCAAATATATGGAGGATTTATAATTTATTTGACGGTATCCTAGAAAATTATTTGTTTATACAGGGTGAGTCTTAAATAAGTGCCAATCTTTTCAGGACTGATAGATCTCGATAAAACAAACATATTTTTTCTCGCTACCGTTTTTTTTTCAAAAAAGTTCAGAATAATAAAAAAAATATATTATATAAATAATAAATAAATAAATAAGTTAGAAATAATAAATAGGTTAGGTTAGGTATTTTACTTTAAAAATTTCTAAAAAAAATATTTTTGCTTAAATTTTGAGAACCACTGGATCTTTTCTGGGTTTTCTTTCATGTAATTTTAATATAAAGGGGAATTAAAACAACTTTCGTTGGACGTCATCGTCCAACATGCGTCGTCTTATGGAGTTTTCTGGTGGTCGTATTATGATGTGCAACGAAAGTTATTTTAATTTCTCCATACTACCTATGTTGCCATATTATTAAGAAATTATGTTTTTAACTGAAAACTGAAAAAAATTGCAAATTTTTTTTTAAATTCCAAAATTTCAAAAAAAATTGTTTGCGAAAAAAGCCTCATAATCGTGTTTCTGGGGTCAAAGTACTACCCGTAAAAATATTTGCATTTATTTAACACGCACCCTGTATAAACCGTCATTTATTTTTTAAAAAACAATCTCTAATTCTTTTACACTTATTCATTTACACGCTTTATACCATTCTTATATAAAATTATGGGATTAAAAATGCTCTTATTTGTATCTCTAGAATAGTGCAGTATTGATTGTGGTTTGGCTGTAAATTTTATTAGACGGTATAAACAATCTTTTTGTTAAATTTATGTATGAGAATAAGAAATATGGTAATATTAGAAAATCTTTTTCGGTTTCAATATTTATCATGAGCTGTTACGAACCATTATATAAAAAATGTAGTGTGAACTTTTTTTTATTTGAAATCGCTTAAAACAACAGAACATCCAGTATACAGAGGCCTCACCAAACATAAAATCATAAAAATTTCTTTGCAGAAAT